GACATGACGAACGGCCAGCTCGTGGCATCACTGTGATGATTGCGCCAGCGACATCCACGCGGAACCTGAAATATACCTGCCAACACCCCACAGTCGCTGCCATGATGTCTCAATGAAACGAATGGAGGTAATTTGGTTTGTCCATGGAGCGTCCATACTTTTTCTGCCGTACAGGCGCGATCTGAGGCGTTCCGTCTCGTGCACGACGTCATGGCGCGGCGGTGCGCCGTGTATCTGCGGGCCAGACCCGACCCCAGCCGCCGCGCTGCTGATCGTTTGGTGCCGTTCCAGCCGGGCCGGGCGGCCGCGGCGCCCGGTCAGCACGCAGTCTCGTCCAGCTGGCCAACATCTACGCACCGAACCCGGTGCGGCGCGCCAAGTCCAGCCAATCGCAGCTGGGCGGCGCCCTCCTCGGCCAGTCGCAGGCGGGCGAGCCCAAGCGGCGGCAACGCGCCTCCCGCGCCTGGCGCTGAGCTCGCCGCCGCGCTCTGCTGGGAGCTGCTGGTCGCCCCGGGACCCGGCCCGTGCCGTCCGTCTCCTACACGGCCCGTGCCGTCCGCCTCCACCCAGCCTGTGCCGTCCGCCCTCCACCCGGCCCGCGCCGTCCGTCTCCCACATGGCCCGTGCTGTCCGCCTCCCACCCCGTCTCCCACATGGCCCGTGCGGTCCGCCTCGTACCCGGCGCCTGCCGCCCCGGTCGAACGCGGCTCGCTCGCGGTGGCGGCACGTGTCCGGCCTCCCGCGCAGCGCTGCCGCCGGACTGACTGGACATGGGTCGGCCCGTCCAATCCGACGGGCTGCTCTCCCTCCATTGGCATGTTGTCCGTCTCTCCCTCCCGCGTGTTGTCGGTCACCGGGACGCCCGGGGTCTGATCGGCCAGTTCACCGAGTAACGCATCCGTCCGTCCCCGCACTACCCCGCTGGCGCCGGATCAGAAGTGGACGAGTCATTGGATACCTTGAGCAGTGCTGCGATGCGGTGCGTGTCGGAAGCAGTCACGTGCGTATTTGATTTTTTTCGGTTTTGTTTGGTATTCCGTGATCGGCCGCTGGGTAGCGCCGTGCCCCAAATCCGGTGGTCCGCTACGCGCAGCCGACTGTGTTCCTGTTTGCACATTTCCGCGCGGATTGCGTGAATACACGAGTTTTCAGACATGGTATCTACGTTTGGACGAGCGCGACTGTTGACTGGTGTAGTTGAGACATCGATGGGGCGCGGTGGGTGTGTGGGAGACTACCTACTGCGCGCTACTCCGAAGGAAAACTAGGGGACGCAGTGGCATGGGCCGTTTAAATTGCTCAGGGTCTGGCGGGCTAATGAAAGGTCCCTTCGGCTATTGTGGAGCCTCCGACCAGTGGCCTTCTCCTCTGACTGCTCAGGGGCTTTACCGACCGTCCGGGGCCCCTGTTGTCCCCAATGGGCAACTCTGATTGGTCGAAGGACCTGGCTACCTAAGTGTTTGGCTGTATGTTGAAGGCCCACTGACCACCCAGCGGCTATGTGGTCGCCTGTCATCAAGCTGTATCCTCACGGCCCACTGGATGCCCGGGTTCTCGCAGGTTACACAGGGACTGTTTGGTAGCTCAAAGGCCCTGCTTCCGTCCAAGAGCCCCCTTGACTGCCCGCGGGCCCCGGAGCGCAGGCAGACGGCACAGAAATGTGCCTCCCTGTAGGTCCCGGAGGTTGAACAGCTCGTGGAAACCAAAGAAAACGGGCCTGATGGAGGAGCTCGAAGAGCCCTAAGGGTTGGTCGTATTAGCGAATACCGGTCCTGCGGATCGGGGGCTCCGAGTGCCGTTCAGAGGGTCTCCTGCACCGATTCTCATTTCCCTGGGACAAATCCAGGTTCCCTATGTTGGCCGATGTCCCCAAATGCCAAACGGTCTGCTCCATGTCAACGAGGGGAGAGGCTTTTCCAAGCAGGGGCGAGCCTTGGCCGCCAATATCAGTAATAAGACCGCCAGCATTGGTCGGGATCCCTAAGACAATTGGGGCTCCTGTGTCGGCTAGGGACCCACGGTGCCCAGCAGGGATCCCGTGTCTGCAAAGGTCCCTGAGACGGGGATCCCATGTCTGCGAAGGTCCCCAAGCCGGGATCCCACTAACAGGGGGTCCCATGTCTGCAAGAGTCCCGAGTCGACCCACGGGCCATTTGCTGAATGGATGATAGGAAAAGTATCCCGAGTGTGACGAGGTACTTTACGTTGGTCGAGGAGACTGACAATAAAAGGAGATATGAAAGGGGTCATGGTAAGGCAGTGGAAGGGCCCCGTATCAGTCAGGTGGTTCCAGTATCGAACCGTGTCCATGTTCCCGTTTCATCTAGGGACCCAAAAGTTGAGCCGGGGTCATCCCTGCGCTATGTATTGAACCCTCTACGCCAGGAAAGAACCATGTTGCGACGATGAGGGCCCGTGCGTCGACCCAGGGTCAACCGTCCCGTTCAGAGTGCCCTCGGTGTGAGGGCGGTAACCGATGTACCATGCATCTCTCTGAGGGCTTCTGGAACGATCTGTCGGCCTCAGCCCAGGTGTCACCAGAATGATAGCCGGTAGGTAACCCGAAATGGGACGGAAAAGCCCTTCGACCCCTTATCGAGAAGGATGGGATCCCCTGATCTTGGCTGGAGACTCCGTTAGGGTCTGGACTAGAGACGCAACTTTTTCCAGACTTGTCAGCCCGCGGCCCGGCCCGGTCCGACAACCTGATGATTCAGCCCGCAAAAGTCCGCTGTGTTACAATGCTGACCTGGTATTAACGCGCAGGTTCTAAATTAATTGGAGCCTGCATTCTGTCATTTGTCCTTCATTGGAGACCTGCACGTTAAGTGTGCGTGGGATCTAATGTTATTGTCACCTCATGCATAGCATTGGCTAACGCCGGTGACGTTGCTTTGAGAATGGTGATAAAAGCACCCGGACTATGGAATCTGTATCGTACCAGAGTAGATCGTAGGCACTGGAATGCCATTTACCAACTACAAATGCGAAGGAGGAGGGGAAACTTAAAATAGCTTATCACCAAAATGTTGGGAGTATGACTAAGAGAATATACTGACATGAATTATGGTTATGAAATGAAAAATCGTGTGAACACCTGCTGACGATGCGTCACGGTGGGCACCACAGACCTTCGCGCGCGGGATTTTCTGCGAATCAAAAGTGGTGCAGTTGAAGCTTATGGTTGTTACAGCACCCATGGACTTACTTACTCCGTGATGATCTAGTGCGCAGCAGTTTCATATTCATTTGGAGGAGCTCCAGCGGCTCCCCAACTTTGCAGACAGGGACTTCAGCGTTGCCGTCGGACCTCTCATAACTTTAAAGAGAAGTGAACTCATAATCCGTAAGCGATGTAGATCTTCCGCGAGTATGGGGGTATTGCGAGTCCTTTTCACTTGGTACAGCTCCCCCTCTAACGATTTTTAAAAAAGGCGATGATGGCGAGTGAATTATGTAATAATCAAGAACCAAACTATGGGCCTACACGCGAGGCAAGATTTAATCTACTCGCCGTGCCGAATGCGCCACCGGATTGCGATTTGTCATTGCATTGGTGGCCATTCACCACACTTACTTCTCCTCCTGGCGTATACACCCTGAGTAACAAGACCTCTAAAGGCTGATCCAGGGGGGGGGGGGGGGCTGCGGAACCGGACAATGTCCCGAACAGAATCGAGCAAAAATTACTTAGTTTTTTAACTTTGAGGAAAATTGAAGCGCCTTTTGCGAAAAGAAGCTAAGTTTGTAGCGCTTCTTGCGGCAAAAAAGGAACTTATGTTGAACTGTTTGTGAAATCAGAGCATCTTTTGGATTTTAAACTTTTGGATTGGTCTCAGATTTTAGCTCCCAATCCCTTCTTCCCCTCCCCTGAGACGGCGTGCGGGATCCGCCCTTCAAGACCTCAGCTGGGCTTCGCGGAAAATTGCATTTGGAATTGGATCCACCGATTGCTAACAAGGTCTTAAAACTGCATGATGTAACGGAGCGAGAAGCCCGCTGACTTCGCGGCCTGTGCGGCCACGCGGCACAAACCGGAGGGGACACTAATCGTCCGCGTCCATTAGCTGTCACACTCTCCGAGCCAAGACGGCCATTAGGAAGACACCGGTTGGAAAATATACAAATTGTATTTCCATTGCGTACACAGTGAAGTGGTTGCGGATGGTGGGACGGCTGGCAGGGTGCGGTCGGTGCGCAGATGGCCGGGGTTCAGGCCAGGGGCGCCGCCGGCTCGGGACGACAGCGATCCTCCCGGAACCAGCAGCGCCGGGCCGGGCCGGGGCACACCGACTGGCGACGGACACCGTCCAGACGGCAGCTCAGAGCGAGCGGCCCGACACGCCGCGAGACAGGGGGCCGACCGATGGCTCTCCTGCAACAGCTGGCCAACCGTTCATTTCGGCTATGCCTTTCCATTTAATTACCCCGTGGATTATTTAAACCCATTGACTTGTTTGTTAGTTGTTTGAGCGAGCCAGTTTGAAGTGAAACTGCAAGGCCATGAAGTGAACCGTGTTTTAGCGAACGTGGAATCGAAAATTACTGGCGCAGCCTGCCACATAGCCACGTCCTCCGCATAAGTCTGCTGAGTCTGCTCGAGACGCGCTCAGACGACGGGCTTGCTGTAATCACAGAGCGCTATTGTAATTCAGGTGTCGAGGCATTGAACCGTAAATTCCCGAACGTCCGGGCCCCCTGCTCCCAGTGCGGCGAGGCACGGCCGAGGGCTGCACACGCACGTGTGGACTGACCCTGCCTTCTGACGACCTTTTCAAGTGACATATTCGTTCTTACTAATTTGCTACGAAGCGTAAAGTCATCAGGACCCGGCCACTCAGCGCACTGGGTCGCGTAGCTGGGTACCAACCCTGGCGCGCTGTTCCGACCCGGAAGGTTTGCGCCACACGGTCCCGGGGGACAGGACGCTGATTGGAGGGGAACAACTGGTCTGACCTGACCCCGTTCGAGCCGTCGGCGGTCGACCGCGACGCCGGCCTTCACAGTGTGCTGGAGGTGACATCTGAGCCGGAGCAGGCCTCTGCCGAGCACGCCAGAGGTCCTGCGGGGCCCGGCGGGGCCGGCGGTCGCGCCGGGCAGGGTACTCCCACCTCGCCGGGGACCATCGCGCCCGGCCGTACACTGGGCCCGCTGGGTACGGCGGTGGGCGCTGGCAGCGGCTCGAGCATATATTGCCATCGAGGCTCCAACAGAGAACAGCAATGCCCAGCCGCTCCGACCGAGCTCGCCCCCGCAGCCGCCGCCACTCACAACAACCGGTCTCACTCCGCACACTAATGATATGTTGAAGCAGGTCTGCCAGACGTCACACAGCCCCGACTGGCGCCGGACAGAGCCGGCCGCTCAGGCCCGGCGAGACCACCGCACGCGCCTCCCGTGACGTATAGGGTGCCGCGCACGCGACGGCCGAGGTGCGATCCTCCCCCCCCCCTCCCCTGCCCTCCCTCACGCCGCGTCCGTGACGTGCCGCCGCCGCTGAGGCAGGCGACTGCACGCAACTGTTGCGCCGCCGGCATCTCACCGTCTCACACAACAGGTCGGTTCAGATCCCCTCCCCTCCCCATCCCCCTCCAACGACTGGACAAGAGTGCGGCGTTCAACCGTGTTGCAAAGGTGTGGTAGCAGTCATCACTAGGGGCGGAGAAACGTTTTTGAATGTGGCGTGGGCTGGTAAGAAACCCAAAAGCGGGTGTGGAGAATCTACACCAATGACAAAGCGACACCAATGATAAATCCACGACAATCTCCAGACACACCTGTGCCTATTTTATGTGACTTACAATGCAACGTTTGCGTGAAACTATATAGCAATTTCTGCTAAACGGAGATGCATATCACTTGTAACTTAAGGTGTTGTGCAGGATGGCTTGCCCGCGAGTATTTTTTGGAGTTGATTGTTTAGTGGATCAGTAAGGTAAAAAAAACATGATGGAATAAAAGTAAATTATGTTGATATGCTCGCACGTTTTTTTTTTACAGTTTTTGACATGTTGCATGTTGTGAACCTATGTTAATTGAACAACTTAAGGTAATGACATGTTTGTAAGAAACAGGTGCACCTAGAGGCTGGTGGGGATGTTTCGCACCGATTTCCACGTTGGGATGAACTCCACAACTCCGCACTGCTGAGTAACCCCACCCATACGAAGTGCCGTCCCTAGACAACACAGAACATATGACTGTCGCGACGTCCACTTGTGGCTGCTGACGACCCAGTCTGGTTTGTTCAATGCGTGTTAGCGTACTGGTTTGTCTCGCATGTCGCTGCGCGCTGATGTTTTCCCGCACGTCACGAGGTGGTGATTGTTCGGCCGTCGTACCGGGCGAACACCGCGGATAACGCGAGAAAGGCGGCTGGACGGCATGTACGCGGGTACCAGGGGGAGATTCAGCAAAGTATTGTTTGTGCCGGTTGTTCCCAGACTACACAAATTTGATAGAAGCTTTGATTAGTCCAACGTGCTTACTTCTGCACCAAACAACGTGTTCACAGTCTGGTTCACCAAATAGATGTCATACATCATCCTGGTGAACATGAATGATCTAGATTAAGTCAAAGCCCTTTTTCTTATTCTGTTATTCCCAACAAAAGTCCCGCCTTCACTTTAGCAGTACGCGGTTTGGTTGCGCGGGGTCATACAAGAAGTTGTGCGGTGCGTTAAAGTTCCGACATCCGTAACTGATCATCCTCCAACAGCATAAAGCCCGACAGCGCTCAGCGCTGTTGACAAACTAGCCTCACTCGATGGTTGCCTGCCGCACGATCCAATTAATTCCAGACGCCTGTCAACCCCTAATGCCAGCCTTGCCAATCGATACGACCATCATCTGCTAAATGGCCCAACTTGAGCGCACGCCGCCGTCGCTAGACAGACGGTGCACCCCTGGCGCGCAACGGAGGAGGGCGTGGGTACGGCACAAGCTGAGGGCCGCGGCCCGACGATAACACAACATCCGCAAACAGGAGCAACGCAGCCTTATCAGTCTCCGCCACAGGCTGAGCAAACGAGAGCGCGACGGATAGTCGCCGGCGCCCGCCTTCAGGCCACCTACGTGACACCGAGTAGGCGCGCCCGCGACAGCAACAGGCGGACTTCGCAGGTCAGCAGGTGCGCTGCCGAGACCAGCAGGTGTGCTCCACAAGCCAGCAGGTGCGCCCCGAACCGCAGGTGCGCCGCGAGCGGCAGCAGCAGTGCCAGCAGCAGCGGCGCCCCGGCGGCGGGCCGGCCACCTCGGCCGACGGCGCCGATCCGACAGCGTAGGTCCTCTGCGCGCAGCTCCATGATCGGCGTCTCCGAGCCCGTCCTGAGGCCACACACGTCACGTGAGACTCGGCGGACGCAAAGAGGTCAAGTGGCAGCCACAGATAAAACAACGCGGCCACAGACAGGAACACGGCAGCTGTCGACGGCACACTGTGGTTACGGACAAGAACACGGCAGCTGTCGACGGCACACTGTGGCTACATACAGGAGCACGGCAGCTACCGACGGCACACTGTGGCCACATACAGGGACATGGCAGCTGTCAACGGCACACTGCACCTAAAGAAGAGAGCACTGCAGCTATATAATATACGGTGCACTGCAACCACAGACGGAACACGGCAGGTGCAGACGGAGCACATTCAGAGACGGAACACGGGAGCTCCGGAGCGGTGCAGCAGCTGTGAACGTGATGCGAAGAGCTGCGTCTGAGTTGTTCTTCCTCAGATGCGTGAAGGCATTTAGTGAAGCTCCATTAAACCAAATTTCGGCTGCACTAGGCTGTTGTGGCTTCCAAAGCCGCACGAGGTACGCGGGCGGCCACGGGACACAGCAGGCTCTGGCCCGTTCATGACCGGCCAGCGCGCGGCCCAGTTGGCCTGCCTCATGGGCCGTGACCGCTGAGTAGTGGGCCGCTCAGCCTGTCGTGACCTGACTCGGCCGGACTGACCTGAGGTCGGTGCAGGTGGCCTGCCGCACCACGTGGTGCACGTGCTGAGCGCTGCGGGGTACGGCTGTGTGGATGCGCAGGCTCTCGCGCACCCAGCGGCGCTGCCACTGGCCCAGCCAGGTCAGCGCGCAGTCGCACACCCAGCGGTTCTCGCCGAGCAGAATGCCACCTGGGGGGCGCGACAGAGGTCATGTCCGCCTCCGGCTGGAATATCAGGGCGAACACTGTGATCAGGGGACTGATGTCAGGCTGTCACCCGCTGGGTACAAATGACACAATTCAGCGCAAACGCTTCCGTTACGAATCACATCCGCTTAGTCCGTCATAACCTTGCTCCCCGACGGGCGCCCAGCGCCGAGAGCGCGAGCGCCAGACCCATTACATGAGCGGAGCATCCGCCGAGCTGGCGCGTGCCGAGATCAGACGGGCCGCTCGCCGGGCGACGGCTCGTTTCTGCCGCCCCAGGTTGGCCTCGTTAGGAGCACGTTCGTTTGCTGCAGTGGTGTGGGACGGTGCCTATTGACGGCGACAAAGAAATCGATGTGCCGACGCGGGCGTCTAATGGTCACAACCGGATGATAACAAGACGGCGCGTCTCCGGGAGGCTGGTGATGACTGCAGCTGGAGCGGCGGTCACACGCCTCCAGCTCCCCGCGGGGCAGCTGGGGTCTGCCTGCCGACCCCAGCACAGCAGCAAGAGCCTGCCTGCGGACCCAGCACAGCAGCAAGAGCCTGCCTGCCGACCTCAGCACAGCAGCTAGGGCCTGCCTGCCACCCCAAGCACGGCAGGTGGGGTCTGCCTGCCGACCTCAGCACGGCAGCTGGGGTCTGCCTGCCGACCCCAGCACGGCAGCTGGGGTCCGCCTGCCAACCTCACCTAGGCAGCTGGGGTCTGCCTGCTACTGCCGACCCGTTCGGTCCGTCGGTTGTAAGTGTGATTTAGGCCCGCTGTGCTTCGCTAGCTGACAACGCAGGCCGGAGATGAGACCGGGCATGCTCCAGACACGGGAGGGTGCCGGTCAGGCATACAATACATTCGCAGCGCACCAAAAATATTCTGTCCTCTGTGACGTCATGCAGAATCTCTGCAGGACATGTTCGTAGAAGCGACACATTTTCTGTTCGCATCTTCGTAACTGTGGCGACAAGAACTGCGCATGAAAAGACATCATGCTTTTATTTGTAGGTACTACAGCGCTGTAAACAAGGTAAATTGCAAATTATGTTGCTTGCAACTGGAACATGTAAACCGTCTTCGTATCACTGGTGGTCGGTCTTGGGCGCGCAAGCAACTTTGTTAAATTGAATCTGTTGCACCATTTATGACTTAATTTGATCAAGTTGCGGGAAAAGGTAAGGCGCGTCCCATGAAGAGTATACGTGACGTCATGTAGAAGCTTCATCGTCCAGATCTCTCCGAACACCAAAAGGCGCGGAATATACGAGTTATGACGTCATAAATTACGTTGACGGGATATATTTTTGTTGTCCGGGTGGCTGCGAATGCGTCGTTATTCTTTCATCACATCTTTAAATAGACCCAAAATATTATCAAATAGTTCTGCTGGTTTAAGTATTTCAAGCTCAATGTTAAAATGAAGCAAGCCTATTTTGCTTGTGTTAAGGCTCACTGGAGCATAGCGTGGGTGATGGTATATCTTGTATCCTTGATTTAAGGCATCGTTCCACATTTGTATGATATTTTGAACTGAAATAGTCACCTTGCAGATCATTCGGTGCGTCTCACAGTCCTGCCCTTCTTAAAACATAAACCCTTCCAGTTTCTGAACTACACACCCGCGAAGATGTGCCAACTATTTCGGGGTAATTATTTCAAGGTCAGCCTGACATCTACGAGACCACAATAACGTTGGTCAAATCCTGCCTTTCATTTGGACGTACGGCGGTCAAGGCCAAGAAAATATAATTATCGAGTCGCTCATAATAGGCGTTCGTGAGCACGATTTCCAGATAAAGCGGCCGTTAACTGGCTCTCAATCAATGCTGTGCAAGCTGCGACGATGTAATCAAACAATGTCGTATTAAGGGAGATATGTATTAAACGGAGAAATTGTATTGTCTAGAGCAGTCTTTTCCACTTAGAAATATACTAAAAGCCTTCAAGTGTGAAATATTCCCTTTATTGAATAGTAACCCACATCGCACAAAGACAGAGCACAAAACTCTTGGCTGATAATCTTTACCCATTGTCACGGTTACTTCATACAAAAACAACCTGAACCAGTGGCAGGCAATCTCATTTCAGCAGAAACAAGGAAGTAATTTCAACAAAAGGTAAAAAGCTAGAATTGGTTTATTCGGCCTTCACATTCACTTTGCTTGACTCAGATTAACTTTTCCTATTAGATCCAGTGATTCGATTCGTGATTCACGATCCTTTTCATCCGAAATAATCGACTCACTGGTGACTCGACGCAAAATGGCGTGAGTCATGGACGGTTAATTGATTTATCTTAAACCGGGCGCAAGTCTTACTGAAAGACTATCATACCATTTGGGACAGAACGTCGACATTTTCCCAGACTGACCTTTGACGGCCTTCGTGCCGACCTTCTCCCACTCGGAGCCGTTCGGGTAGAGCGTGCTCGGACCCATGTTGATGAGCCGGTTGCGGCGTAAGTCAAGCGTCAGTGTGGTCACGTGACGCAGGTCGCGCAACAGGTCGTCGGGCAGCTCGGAGATGGACGTGTCCCTCACCTGCAGCACCAGCTCGTGGCGGCCCCGGAAACCCTGCCAGCGACGAGCTGATCAGCGCCGACTCCGCCGGCTGGGCCTGACAGCGTGGCGGCGCTCGCAGCGCGCGGGCTCAGTCCGATGCTGCCCAGCAGTGGTGTTACGGGGCCTCAGTCTGATCAGGCGCAACAGCGGTGTGACGGGGCCTCAGTGTGATGAGGCCCAACAGCGGTGTGACGGGGCCTCAGTCTGATGGGGCCCAACAGTGGCGTGACGCGGCCTCAGTCTGATGGGCCCAACAGTGGCGTGACGCGACCTCAGTCTGATGAGGCCCAACGGTGGCGTGACGCGACCTCAGCCTGATGAGGCCCAACGGTGGCGTGACGCGGCCTCAGTCTGATGAGGCCCAACAGCGGTGTGACGCGACCTCAGTCTGATGAGGCCCAACAGTGGCGTGACGCGGCCTCAGTCTGATGAGGCCCAACGGTGGCGTGACGCGGCCTCAGTTTGATGAGGCCCAACGGCGGTGTGACGGGGCCTCAGTCTGGCGAGACCCAGCCGTGGTGCTGGTAATCGGACCGCGCTGAGTAACCTTTTCCGAAAATGCCAGCACTGCTCGCGCTGAGTGGTGGCGACTTTCCGTTGCTCTCGCATCACCGTTTGTCACCTGACCGCAGGTCTGTCAGCGGCGCCGGGGTTCAGGCAGCGCGGGGCAGCGGACGGGATCGGCGCCAGGGTACGGGCTGTGCAGGGAACGGGTGGAATCGGCGCCAGGGCCTGGGCTGAGCGGGGCAGCGGACGGGATCGGCTCCAGGGTTCGGGCTGAGCGGGGCAGCGGACGGGATCGGCTCCAGGGTACGGGCTGAGCGGGGCAGCGGACGGGATCAGCTCCAGGGTACGGGCTGAGCGGGGAACGGGCGGAATCGGCTCCAGGGTCCGGGCTGAGCGGGGCAGCGGACGGGATCGGCTCCAGGGTCCGGGCTGAGCGGGACAGCGGACGGGATCGGCTCCAGGGTCCGGGCTGAGCGGGGCAGCGGACGGGATCGGATCCAGGGTCCGGGCTGAGCGGGACAGCGGACGGGATCGGCTCCAGGGTCCGGGCTGAGCGAGGCAGCGGACGGGATCAGCTCCGGGATACGGGCTGAGCGGGGCAGCGGACGGGATCGGCTCCAGGGTCCGGGCTGAGCGGGGCAGCGGACGGGATCGGCTCCAGGGTACGGGCTGAGCGGGGCAGCGGACGGGATCGGCTCCAGGGTACGGGCTGAGCGGGGCAGCGGACGGGATCGGCTCCAGGGTCCGGGCTGTGCAGGGAACGGGCGGAATTGGCACTCAGCTGTAGTCAGCTTTAATTAGGAACGCAAGCACAGACAAGCGTGCAAGATTGCTGTAAATACAAACAACAATTAACGTTGATACACATGAATCCTTGCATACATGGGCATAGCGAAGGGGGCGGGTGCTTTTTGACCATGCCTTAGCCTCTGGAACTGACGGGGATTCCTGCAGGTGGTGAGGGAACTCTGTAGCCAAAGATCTCAGTTCCTTTTTGCTGGCTGAAGACGTCCGTGAGTGTTCTCAAATATGACAAAGGTTCCCGAGACATCAAAGCACGGCCATAAGCATAAAATGTCCCCGAAGAAATAGCTCCTAAGCGACGAACAGGGGATTACGCTTGACTGGAGGGGTCTTACATGACTCGATGTGAGTCCATTTTGGCGAATTCTTGGTTACGCCGCGACACACCAAGGAAGGAGGAGGAGGGCGCCTTTTCCCATAAATGGCTCCTCGCAGGAAGCTGAAAGTCAGCATAATGCGTTGTCACTGAGCTCTCTACCCTTGATAAAATCTTAGCGGCACCGCTGCGCCACAAATAGTGGAGTGAAAACGTTGTTTGTGGTTGAAAACGGTCATGTTCCTGCCAGTAAATTACAATACCAAACACGATGCATAAACAGAGCCATCGTGCCTGCTTTACTGCTCTTATAACCTGTAGTAGCCAAGGCAGTCTAAAATTACCGGACCTTATATTTAGGGGCACTGCCAAAACAGGGATCGCAGGATTGGGGGCGGCGGACCATGCACATATGGACGCAAGCAGCACTCGTGTTTCGAGTTAATATGTACAACTGTCCAAAATAAACCGAGACATAGTCTTATTCTCGAAATCGTGCTTACTCCATAAATGTTGGCATGGACCCCTGACAGCGTGAAGTTTATGAACGCTGCACGTACTTTTAAAGGCGCTTGAAAAATCGGGTCAGGAAATCCTGCTGGACGGACAGGCACCGGGTGGCATGTGTCAGGAAATCCTGGTGGACGGACAGGCACCGGGTGGCATGTGTCAGGAAATCCTGCTGGACGGGCAGGCACCGGGCGGCACGTGCCCGCTAAAACTTCGTAAACATCCAGCGAAGACGGAGGCTGGGGATCGTCGAGACGCCTCCCACCGGTGTGGGCCGTAAACGGAAGCTAACAGGTACCAGGCGTGGCTGGCCTGCTGTCAACTGTGTCAGAAACGGTATCATGTATGGCTGTGCTGGTATCAACGGTGACTGGCACGGTATGAGGTGTGGCTATCCTGCTATCAACTGCTCTGACATGGTGTCAGGTGTGGCTGTTCTCATATCAACTGTGTCTGGCACGGTATCAGGTGTGGCTGGCCCGGTATCAACTGTGCCTCACACGGCTTCAGTACTGGTTGACAATATCTGCTTCGCTGATGTGGTCAGCCGCAAACGACACGGCGTGAGCTGCGGCTGACAAGGCAGCGGATGTGGCTGGTTTGACGTCAGCTGGGGCTGGGTGACACTAAATCAGCTGCGGCTGGTGGTTGGTGAGCTGCGGCTGACAGGACAGCGGATGTGGCTGGTTTGACGTCAGCTGGGGCTGGGTGACACTAAATCAGCTGCGGCTGGTGGTTGGTGAGCTGCGGCTGACAGGGCAGCGGATGTGGCTGGTTTGACGTCAGCTGGGGCTGGGTGACACTAAATCAGCTGGGGCTGGGTGACACTAAATCAGCTGCGGCTGGTGGTTGGTGAGGTGCGGCTGACAGGGCAGCGGATGTGGCTGGTTTGACGTCAGCTGGGGCTGTGTAACACTAAATCAGCTGCGGCTGGTGGTTGGTGAGCTGCGGCTGACAGGGCAGCGGATGTGGCTGGTTTGATGTCAGCTGGGGCTGGGTGACACTAAATCAGCTGCGGCTGGTGGTTGGTGAGCTGCGGCTGACAGGGCAGCGGATGTGGCTGGTTTGACGTCAGCTGGGGCTGGGTGACACTAAATCAGCTGCGGCTGGTGGTTGATGAGCTGCGGCTGACAGGGCAGCGGATGTGGCTGGTTTGACGTCAGCTGGGGCTGTGTGACACTAAATCAGCTGCGGCTGGTGGTTGGTGAGCTGCGGCTGATGCGGTACGGGCCGCGGCGAGGCTGGTGGCTCACCTGGAACGCCTCGGGCTCGATCTGGCGCAGGTTGCGGCCAGTGAGGCGCAGTTCCTTCAGCCTCGGCCCAAAGCCTCCCCACAGCTGATCCTCCAGCTTCGGCTCCCGCACCTCCACGTGGAGTCGCCGGATGGACTGCAGGCTGTTCAGCACGCCGCCCAGTCGGAACCTGGCGATGACGGAGACCACTGTAGCGCACGGATGGCGAGCGATCACCTTATTAGGCCCTTAAGCCAACGCTCCGGGTGTTATGGCCAGCTATTAGCCGAAGTGAGCCGCGGCCGCTGGTGCGTCTCGACAATGCCGATGGCAAGTGGGGTAGGGTAATAAATATATACTAGCGAGCAGCATGCTATGGCGCAGAACTGTGTGTTTAAGTGTTATAAGCCTGTCATTGGTGCAGAAACGATCCCGATATATTCCATTGCCTAGATGAATATGTTGCATGCTTGGAATCTATCGATTGGGCTTACAAGCACATACCTCACTCAGCATTTCAGGGGAACGAGTGGTTTACTTTAGTCTCAACGCACATTGCATGAATCGCTCCAAAACTTCTAACACATGCAAAGCTTGAATATGACACATGTGGACCTCATCCGACCACGAGTCACATGGGCACCGCACTGGAGTGGCTGGCGCGCCCCCACTAGGTGGCTGATAGTATTGATTGTGGTCGAATGAAACCAGCACACCGCAGCGTATTGGGACGAAGTGACTAAATCAATCCGATAACAGCTTAGCACCACTTGCACAGGGATACGCACTGCAAATAAGCCACGAAGCACCCAAGTTAACGTCAACACAATTTTCTCAGCTAAGCGCACTCCACGTGGTTTGTAGCATTAGGTATGGGCAGGAAGCCATCGACCGGAGCTCGTAAACCACACTCCAGGAGTGATTTGTCGATAGCACGTGAGCAACTGAGTGATGTAGTGGGACTGGCGCTGGAGAGCGTCTAGCGCTGTCGGCCCCAGCCCGCGGCACGCTCAGCTGCCCCAAGGTCAGCGACCCCGGCCGCAGAGGTCACCGAGGTGACCGGCAACCGGCGGTGACGCTCACCTGTATTTCTCGATCTGCGGGCAGGTGGTGATATGCAGCACATCCAGTTCGCGCATGCGCAGCAGCGTGTCCGTGTCAAACCGCACCAGCTGGTACATTCTGCTCAGGTCCAACTCTCGCAGGTGGTCCAGGCCTCCGAACGACTCGCCTGGGGGTGCGGGATGCTATAGTACGCCGCCCGGGATGCGGGGTGCTACAGTACACCGCCGGGGGTGCGGGGTGCTGCAGTTCACGGCCTGGGGTACAGGGTGCTGCAATACACCGCCTGGGGGTGCCGGGTGCTACAATACACCGCCTAGGAGTGCGGGTGCCGCAGTACACTGCCTAGGAGTGCGGGGTGCTGCAGTACACCACCTAGGGGTAAGGGGTGCTGCAGTACACTGCCTGGAGGTACGGGGTGCTACAGTGCACCACCTAGGAGTGCGGGGTGCCGCAGTACACTGTCTGGGGTCGGGGGGTGATACAGTGCACCACCTAGGAGTGCGGGGTGCCGCAGTACACTGTCTGGGGTCACGGGGTGCTACAGTGCACCACCTAGGAGTACGGGGTGCCGCAGTACACTGTCTGGGGTTGCGGGGTGCTACAGTGCACCACCTAGGAGTGCGGGTGCCGCAGTACACTGTCTGGGGTCGCGGGGTGCTACAGTGCACCACCTAGGGGTGCGGGGTGCCGCAGTACACTGTCTGGGGTCGCGGGGCGCTACAGTGCACGACCTAGGAGTGCGGGGTGCCGCAGTACACTGTCTGGGGTCGCGGGGTGCTACAGTACACCAGCGGCCGCCAAATCCAATCAAGCCCAATGTCGTCCCAGCGGCAACAAGCACACATTTGTTAACAGCTCTCAGCCCGGCGCCGGTTGGCACAGCTCGGGGACTAACTATATACGGGCAGATAGCATTATAGATCGTCTGTTTTCAGTCACTACATGAAAATTATTCCCGAAGCTTTCAAACCGCGTGTGTAAAGAAAGGACTGACTAGCACATGGACACGTGGCGTCTGGTCTGCTGTTGCATTTCTGGAGATAACAGAGGAGACTGACGGCAGATATGTCTTCCGCAGTCCGTCGATTGATCGGTAGCGAACGATCAACGGCGAACGGAGCTAGTGCACTTCCAGCGGGGGATTTTTTGCAACCGCTCATTCGTGCAGCATGCGATTCACAGTAACAAGAAGAGCTACTGTTTGGAAATCGTGTGATGATAAATGCAAGCTCTTTGCATGCAAGATGTTGCGTTATACATGGCTTTCATGCAACGGCGCGCCGTCACCACATTTGACCTGTTCATTCAACAAGCCTTGGTAACATGAAATCTTAAAATTACGGGAAGTGCTTAACATGGGCGGAGACTGGGTTCAGATTCCCACGAAACAACGCATTGAAGTGAAGGCATGAGAATAACACCTGTTGGTCAATGCAGCCGTACTGGCAAGAGTGTGAGTCGATTGAAGCGATCGGGCACACGCCCTCGAACGCTAATCACAGAAACGGCCGCTTCCCATGCTGGCGGTTTTAAGGACTGCCATCAGATATGAGTCGCCAGAGCCGATACACGCGTGTAGAAAATGGATCGTCAGCGGTCCGTGTCAGTTCTCCCGAAATTAAACTTGAGTGCAGTATGCTGTAAGCCAATCGAGACAGGACGAAATATGACTATTGCAGAGGCTTCTAGTCCGGTTATCTGTGACCAACCTTCGTCTAAAACATTGGTGTTATCTAACGATTTCGTGGAAGTCACTGAAAATGTACACCAGCCTAAATTCGTCCAGATACGCCTTTTTGTCACCTGAAATTGCCAGGCTAGCCAAGTCCAGTCATGCAATTTTCAGCGGTTCTTTGTAGCTTGCGTGCCTAAGCTCTAAACATATTGCACCTTTGCCGCTGAACTCATGGCATACAAATATTCCAAAGCATTTAGCAGACATGTTTCTAAGGGTTTGCAGTAGCGCGAGCCGCATTCGGTCACGTTTAGGTTCATTTTCTGCGTAATCGTAACACGTCTGCTACCACTACTCGTCCCCTCCTCCATATTGATATCAGTGGCCATTCCGACTGGCAGGTATAGGCGAAGTATCGTGCCAACACTCACCATTGAGGATCTGGACCGGATTTTCTGAGATATCCAATGTGCGAAGCAGTGGTGTGTGCATCCATGTCTTGCTTGGAACCTGAATGGCGCAGAAGTAGACTGGTCAAGGTCCAGATTAGCACGTGAGCACAGATTCCATCAAGCCGGTGCATTGGTCGACTAGTGGTCGGCATTGGTCGACTAGTGGTCGCAGGCGTGAAAAATCGATCCGTCTGTTAATGGTCGCAGGTGCCGGAAACGTTGCAACTTTCTATTAGTGGCCGCTGGTGTTGAAACGTTACATCTGTCTGTTGGTGGCCGCAGGTGTCGAATGCGTCGCATTTGCGCATCAGTGGTCGAAGATGTAAACGTCTTTCGTTTCATATGTGCATGGAATGCTTTTTGCATGCACATCACCCATTTTACAATGGACTTTGGAGCCATTCATATCAGTCATCGTCCCAATCCCAGGTCTCTCATCGACAGATTAAGGACAGTATCTTTTGTAAAATGGTGCCATACAAAAACAATTTGTTATCCTACTACAGAGGCGGCATTGAAAACCACTCCGTCTCCAGCAGCATTCCAGGACAGGCCGCCATCACTCACCGTTGTGAACGCGTTCCGGCTGAGGTCCAGCACGCGCAGGTTCTTCAGCGTGGCGAAGGTGCCGAACGGGATGCGCGTCATGCCGTTTACCCGAGACGTTCAGCTGGACGAGGTTGGGCAGCGGCAGGTCGGGAGCTTGATCCAGACCGACAGCTGCTAGCTGCAGCTCCTGCAGCGGCTGCACGTAGTGGAACAACTCCTTGTAGTTGGTGCGCAGGGGGTTGAAGCTGAGGTCCAGGCTGAGCAGGCGCGGCAGGCTGAGGAACACCGTGTCGGGCAGCACGGCCAGCCGGTTGTGCGCCAGGCTGAGCCGGCTGAGGCGCGGCAGGCGGGCGAACATGATGCCATCGAGCTGCTCCAGCCGGTTGGCGGTGAGATCAAGCCGCGCCAGCGTGGGCCCGGCCGCCGCCAGCGCCGCCGCCGGCAGTGTGCGCAGTGCGTTGTGGCTGAGGTCGAGCGACTCGAGCGGCGCGCGGTGCAGCAGCTCCTGCGGCAGCACCGACAGACGGTTGTGCGCCAGCGTCAGGTGCCGCAGCGTCCACTGGTTGTGGAAGAGGCCGCCCGGCAGTCGGTCCGCCCGGTTGTCGCTCAGGTCCAGGATCTGCAGGTATGGGATCGAGTCGAACGCCTTGGGCCGTAGCAAGCTGATGCGGTTGCCGCGCAGCTTCAGCACCTGCAGGTTGTTCAGCTCGCCGAACGCGTTGTCGTCTAGGCGCTCGATCCGGTTGAAGCTGAGGTCGAGGTGCCGCAGGGACGGCCGGATCCCCTGCAGAAAGTTGGTCGGCACCTCTGGCAGACTGTTGTAGCTGAGGTCCAGCGTCTTGATATGCATGGGCGTGCCCGTGGGGTACGGGTACATGGCGTTGATCAGATTGCGGCTCAAGTTCAGCGTCAGTGGCACTACGTCATTCGTGACGTTGAAGAAGCACTTGAGCGAGAAGTCGCGCAGCTTGTTGTCCTGCAGGTCCAACTGGACGAGGCTGGGCAGGCCGCGGAACGCGTGCGCAGCCGAGCTCTGAGAGTCGGTTGGACGCGAGCATCACCACGATCAGCTTGGGCAGCCCGTTGAACGCGAGGTTCTCCACGGCAGTGATTTGGTTGCCAGTCAGCACCACCGTCTGCAGGCTCTCCAGCCCGCTGAAAGTCTGTCGCTCTAGCCTCGCCAGCCGGTTGTGCGACAGCCGCAAGTCCTGCAGCTGTTTGTGCACGTTACGGTGGAACAGCGCGGTGGGCAGCCGCCCCAGCCGATTCGCCTCCAGGTTGACGTATTCGAGCTCGGTCAGCCCGTACAGCGCCGTGTCGGCGATTTCTGCGAAGCCGTTGTTGTCGGCGGCGAGCCAGCGCAGCGCCGTCAGCGGCCGCACCAGCTCCCGCGGGAAGACGGCGCCCCTGACGGCGAAGCTCATCTCCAGGCTCATCAGCGAGCTGGCGAGGTCGACCAGCGATTCCGGTGAGAACCATCTGATGCTGTTGAAGGACAGGCTGAGCTCGCGAACGGCCGGCGCGCCGTGGAACAGCCGGTCCGGCAGCTCAGTCAGCAGGTTGTTGCGCAGCAGCAGCTGCTCGAGGTGGCCGGCCCAGCCCAGAAAGTCCTGGTCGCTGATGTTGCGGATCCGGTTGTGGGCGATGTCAAGAAGCAGCAGCTGGGAGCAGCCGCGCAGAGCCGCGGCCTGGTATCGTCTCCAGCTGGTTCCCAGCCAGACTGAGGCGACTCCAGCGAGGCCTCAAGACCATCCAGCGCGCCGGCCGGCACCTCTGTGATGGCGTTGTTGGCCAGGGTGAGGAAGCGCAGCTCCCTGAGGGACTGCAGCGCCGCCGGTACCTCCAGCAGCTGGTTGGCCTCCAGGTCCAACGAGATCAGGCTATGGCCAATCTGGTGGCGCAAAACGAGGTAGATCTGAGAGTTCCGCTCCCATAAAACATGAAGCACAGAACATTTTTCAATGTGATCTGAACGGTATTGCGCCTACCCGCAAAGATAATGAAAACGACGACAGTATGAAAAAGGGCGGCCCGTATCTCTTCTCCGACGGGCTACTCTAATTCTGAATAATATGCCAGGCATGCGCAATCCCTAACACCTGAAACATCACTGAACCTGTGCTGTATAGGTGAGCTGAAGTGTACGTAAACAAGGCGCAACGATAAGATTAGAAGCAAGTAAGATGAGGCAGGGTGTAAATACTATGCTGCCACATGATGACGATCATTTGCACCTGCAGTATGGGTCACTGCTGGTGGATCACATTGCTACAGACGGAATTTTCGCGGAGGTCTGTGTCATTTGAGCCCGACCGGGCGCAGGCAGCGGCCGCGGAAAGACGCCTGTACGCCAGGGTGGTGCTGCAGCTAGTTGTTTACGTTGACAAGTTAATTTTGTGTCTTGAGCATTGCGCATTCGCCAATTAAAGACGAGATCGCTTAATTGGCTCGCACTGCCCCGCTATTCAATCTAGAGCAATCAGCCGCACTCCACAAGTTCGACGACCCATCTCCGGAATCACTTATAATCTGGCTTGGGGGCCTCATGCGGTGCGCTGGCTACCGGCCCGTCGCTCCCGCTAGGTGTTCTGTCATCCGCCTCCCCAGTCACGCACCCCATGGAAGGCGTCGTCATCGATCCAGCTGACGCGGTTGTGTGCCAGGAAGAGCCTGGTGAGGTGGAGGCCGGCGAAGGCGGCGCGCCGCAGTCTGGTCAGCAGGTTGTACTGCAGGTGCAGGTCACGCAGCCGCACGGAGCCGTTGAAGAGGCGCCCGGGCAGCTCCTCCAGCCGGTTCTGTGAGAGGTGCAGCTCCACGAGGCGGCGCGGCGCGCCCACCGACTCGGATGGCAGCCGGCTGATCGCATTACCTGTGAGGAGGGGAGGAGGGGAGGGGGGACGGAAGGTCAGGAAGGACGCCAGCATATAGTCGGGCGCCGGTTCAGATCTTGACACCAGTGGTGCGTTTATGCATGAATACCGTCACAAGTCCAACATCATGCATCTGTTTACATGCGAATCTAGGTCCCGCGCTGTGCGTTAGCCGCTGCGCGTCTGGGAGACCAGAGGTGCGGGGTTTGATTCCCCGCGGTGCCCGCCCTTCCTGCCAGGGTGGGAGGCAGGTGACGCCATATAGCCTCAGCAGCTGAGTGCCTCGTAAAGCCCCAATGACACACAGATCTCGCGCTGTGCCAGAGCCAGAGAATCTAGATCCTGCGTTAGGGCATCGATGGGGTTACCCGTTGTACCAGGGTAGCCCCATCGACATTGTCGTCCAGGGCTAAACCTAGCACAAAGCGCATGGACTTTGAAGAGCCCAGCGTCCGAACGTCGACCCCGCGTCCACTCAGCAGCCACCCCTTTCGCGTCCGCTCAGTTCGCACCTCTGAGTTGGAGCCGGTTGAGCCGGTGCAGCTTGCGGAGGGCGTCGACGGGCAGCTGCTGCAGCTGGTTGTTGTTGGCTGTGAGCACCTGGAGGCCAGCAGGCAGCGCGCTGGCCGGCAGCTGCCGCAGCAGGTTGCTGTCCAGGTTCAGCGAGACGAGCCGCTCGAACGCGCCGAACGTGCCCGGCGCGAGCCGGCGCAGCTCGTTCTCGCCGAGGAACGCCTGGCTGAGCGAGCGGCGCAACCAGCGCCAGTCGGCTGGCCGCAGCTCGTGCAGCATGTTGCTGCGGGTGGCACCGTCAGGTCAGCCGGCCCCCGGCCGCATCAGATCAGCCCCCTCCCTTATCAGGACGACAGGCCCCCGGCGCCGTCAGGTCAGCCGGCCCCCGGCCGCATCAGATCAGCCCCCTCCCCTTATCAGGACGACAGGCTCCCGGCACCGTCAGGTCAGCCGGCCCCCGGCCGCATCAGATCAGCCCCCTCCCCTTATCAGGACGACAGGCTCCCGGCGCAGGCAGGTCAGCCGGCCCCCGGCCGCATCAGATCAGCACCCTCCCTTATCAGGACGACAGGCTCCAGCACCGTCAGGTCAGCCGGCCCCCGCCGCATCAGATCAGCCCCCTCCCCTTATCAGGACGACAGGCTCCCGGCGCAGGCAGGTCAGCCGGCCCCCGGCCGCATCAGATCAGCACCCTCCCCTTATCAGGACGACAGGCTCCAGGCACCGTCAGGTCAGCCGGCCCCCGGCCGCATCAGATCAGCCCCCTCCCCTTATCAGACGACAGGCTCCCGGCGCAGGCAGGTCACCGCCCCCGGCCGCATCAGATCAGCCCCTCCCCTTATCAGGACGACAGGCTCCCGGCACCGTCAGGTCAGCCGGCCCCCGGCCGCATCAGATCAGCCCCCTCCCCTTATCAGGACGACAGGCCCCCGGCGCAGGCAGGTCAGCCGGCCCCCTGCCGCATCAGATCAGCCTCCTCCCCCCTGGAGCCATCAGTGCGACAGGCCCGCAACGCTGGCAGGTGGGGCAATGCCGCCGGTGGGCGGCCCGACTGGCGGACGAAACCAGCGAGGGCAAGACCAGCAAGAACAGTCTCCAGCAAGAACAGTCTCCGGACGCACAAAACTGCGTGGGCTTCAGGGAAGACTGAACGGAGGGAACGTGCATATGTACTGCGAGAGAAACCTCTTGTGAGAGCATCTTTAGATTAGAAACAAGCATTTGAGATTACGCAGACAAGCAGCAGTCGATTGCTGAGGTCATTTATGCACCAAGCACGAGAATGATCACAGTTAGCAATCAGCGCAACGCTCAGAGCACCTACAATTTAGAGCGACAAAGGCGCGCAGGCCGGCCGAGACGATGCCATCCTGGCAAGCGTGAGGACGCGTCGAAACAACGAGCAACTAGCTGACTGTAGTGGCCTGGTCTTTGTGTGTCATCCTAGTTAAAGCACATAACGGCGCCCTTGACAGTTTGCTTCAGTGCGTTACCGTGAGACGCCCCAGGAAGCGTTGGGCAGGAGATAATTGGTCCCGCACAAGCCAAGAAGACGCTCGCGCCGCGTGAAAAAACGTCACACCAGAGCTAGGATTTTGTTAACGGGGAGGAGCTCGGTGAGTACGCATCACGCCGGTTTTTTTTAACTCCCTGTCGGAGCCATCTATGCCGAAAAACGAAAATCTGCGCTCACGAGGAAGAGGTCGCCCCGGCCTCACAGCGCCCTAACTGCACCCCTATCGCAATTCACGACCAATCATGGAAGACCACGGGAACGCACAGTTTCAAGCGTCTGTCCAGCACACCAGTTAAAAACCATGCGACAATCTTGTCCGCTCGGACGGCGGGGCCAGGCTGCCGCCGAGGGCGGCTGGAGACGGCGTCACTCACCACCGGCGTTATGCAACGCGTGCAAATCGAAAACGATGGCGGCCTTTGATGACTGGGCTCTGACATTTACCGGCGCCACTCACCCGTACAGATTGATGAAAGTCACGTTGGTCATTGAGTGGAATAACTCTGACGGCAGTGAGTAGAGCTGGTTGAAGCTGAGGTCGAGCGAGCTGAGCGTGCGACCCACGGACCTGGAGCAGGAGCAGAGCACAGCAGATCACACGGAGCTCTACTGTTACCGGTGGCGAGGGAAAAATGGAGAGGAAGGAGAAGGAGAGAAGGGGAAGGGGAGAGAGAAAGGAGCGACAAACAGAAAAGGGGAGATGTAGACATAGGTAAGGAAGAGAGAGAGAGAGAGAGAGAGAGAGAGAGAGAGAGAGAGAGAGAGAGAGAGAGAGAGAGAGAGAGAGAGAGAGAGAGAGAGAGAGAGAGAGAGAGAGAGAGAGAGAGAGAGAGAGAGAGAGAGAGAGAGAGAGAGAGAGAGAGAGAGAGAGAGAGGAGAGAGAGAGAGAGAGAGAGAGAGAGAGAGAGAGAGAGAGAGAGAGAGAGAGAGAGAAGAGAGAAAGAGAAAGATAGAGAGGGAAGGAGGGGGGAGGGCAGGGGAGGAGGGTTGAGTGAGGTGTAGAGGGTGAGAAAAGTGGTATTTTTGATACATTTGTTGATAGCATATGTCCAAATACAATACTCGAGAAGACTACTGCAAGAAAGCGGTAATCGAGCTCACACAGTCCAGATACATTGGTGAGGGTTAAGACGACGACGCACTGGCCAGCGTAAGAGCAAGCATCGCTATTACATTGATCATCGCGGAGTCGCATAGGTGTGGCCGATATTGTGTCTTTACATGAGAAGTTGATTTAAAAATGCTCCCGTTATCAGCGGCCTGGCGAGACCACACAAAGCTGCATCGGTGTAACGGGTGGGATTGTGCATGGAGACCGTATCCACTCGCCATGGAAGCGCCTCTGAGCACGGTCGAGCCCGCGTCACAAATATAAAACAGCTTGAAACGTGTTGAAGTCACTGCTGGGCGTCAGCAGAGGGTAACATCTAAAGTATTGCTGACGGATCAGCGAATTTAAGTTTGGTAGTTGATCTCCGCATGCATGCATGTCGTCCGTTCTATAGTTTGACGGGACCTTAAGAAAGTGCTAGTGGACAAAAAAGACACACAAAAAGACACATTAACTAACAAACACAGACACAAAAAGACACAAGACACAAGTTTTAGGCCCAGTCTCGGGTTATCACAAAGGAGTGACTTCCTGAAAAAGTTCCGTGAAAAAGCAGAACTACGTCAACACTATCTTAAAATTGCCTTGCCTTTCTTCACATATACGCTAGACTCGTTGGTCTTAAATATTAAATAATCGCTAGAAATTATTTCTCTGGATTGCTGCGCACCATACGTTTACGTGATGAGATGTCAGTTCGATCTTTTAGATCTGTGATTGAAGGGTGAAACATACGGCTAAATTGACCGGAGTTGACCTAAGTTGATCGAATTACACCATCGGTGCCTACGGAGTAAACGTTTGCACCGCATTGGCCAAGTTTCAAATGTTCTTGAGGCCAGTAGACAGCGTAGCGCAGCCAACTCAGAACAAACACTTCACGGCACCACGTATATTTTCCGACTTGGTGACGAGGTACTTAAAGACCCACTGTTTTTGCTGGTATACTATTCTGAAGCAGTTAAAATGCATGAGTTCCGAAAAAGCCTGCAACTTTAGGCGTTAGCTCCAGCTTTCAATGCATTCATGATCGGTAAACATTTCCTGGTACAGTCTCGCGACGAGAAGATATACTGCCGGCCTACAGGCTCCACTACAGCCAGGCCAGTATTGACTGGGCATCGGCTACCGCTGTCTCAATATTTGTACATAACAGATAACATATAGGCGTACTTTGCTTTTAACAGCAACCATATTTGTAGCATTAACGAACGACATCACGGCGCCTTGGATGTGAAAAAGAACCATGCCTGGACCAAGTTGCGTTGAACACAGGTAAGAACGTGCATGCTTTTAAATCGCGCCGCATAAGCAGGTGAGTCGCGACGTATGATTTCACCGACTTGTTTAGTTCAGGAATACCTCTGGATCAGAATTTGAGCTTCATAAACGCATTTCCGATCCGTGTATTTACATTGCATAGTTAACGAATGCACAGCTTTGCAATTAGGATTGATAAAACTGGGGTCTGGCTAAAAGCTTCTTGCATGATTTCTCGGTGACATATTGGTACAAGGTAAGCCTATCGATCGTTGTGCACTAAGCTGTGCTGTTTGAATTTCTACATATCTTCAGTTCTGTCGAGTCATCTTATGGTCGCCTAGCGTGACGCACCGTCCTGACAATAAACACCAATCAATATGCAGTCGTGTGAGACTCATTCTATTAGTGTTTGATGACATCAGGAAGTAACGGCATACCAAAGCTTTAAAAAAACGCACAACCCAACAACACTCCCTTTCCTGCAAACGCCACCGCTGTGCGCAATAACTTCTCCCCACCCTCACCTCCACCTCCACCCCCACCCTTTCCGATTCTCATCTTGTATCGCATAAACCGATAATTGCCTTCTCAAGCCAGGTGGGATCTTTCAGGTTGGGATTCCTGAACAGAAACTGCAAGACTCAGCTGGCTGGGCTCAAGGTCGAGCTACGCCAAAACGGCCAGTCAGCTGTGGTCAGACCGAACTCACGACAGCTCACGAGATCACCTGATTAATAACGGCAAAAGAGATGGGCAAATGAGTTGCAAACAGAGGAGCAAATGAACTGAGTTTTACTTTTGTCAGTCACACAAATACCCATCCAGGTGCAGGTGTGCAATTTAGTATCTTGCAACTAAGTTTTCCATCATGATCAACATTTTCATCGCGTACCCAAGCGGACATTTCCGTGCTTTTGTTAAAAACTACGCTACGTATATAACACGGTCAGTTCCGATCCATGCAGGCTGACACGTGTCAAACATTCCTGTATTTACAAGCGGGTGTCGACCTAATGCAACAAATCAAGTAACACGCTTCAATGTTTTACGCATATCACAAAACCGACGGCTATGTTGCACCGGTATGGTTCCGCTCAGTAAAACACATGCTTTATGTGCATGGAATCAAAAGGTTTACAAAGAAGACATTGGATACCTCATAACTGAAGACAGTTAAGTGTACGGCTCTTATGTAAGACGGGGATGCCATCTGGATTTGGTGATGTCATTTGGTGACTAAACGAAGAAAACATGACACTTGTTTAACACAAAATAAAAAAGCTAATTGCCAGTTTATCATGAAAAACGGCTATACCAGACGCTTACACCGGTATTCAAACTATCCGAGCAATTACGTAGTCCAGTCCCAAACATTTCAAACGCTCTCCCTCTAGAGCCTGGAGTTGAGCTTATCATAGTTGCGTGTATTTAGTGCAGACACCATTCAAGCGAAGCGGACATGTTTCTGCAATCATTCTTTGTGACTATCTGAAAGGGTTTCCGTGCTACGTACGGGCTGTGAGCGGTCTAACTTATACAGACGGGCGAAGGCATCGTCAGACGGCCGAATTCGGGGCAATTTATTCTGCGGCGGCCGGATGCGAAGTGAGGGAAAATTCACATCGCCTCCGCCCGATCAGCAGAAGGCGATCAAACTCGATTGCGAAACAACCGGCTGAAAATCCTGCGCACCTCAAAGTCCGCCGGGAAACGAACCAGATGTTTCAAAAGAATGACGATGTGTGTAGTTGGCCGGATGAAAATAGAGCTGTGTGCATGCAGTCAAATTTCAATTGAAACCTGGTTTAGACAGAACAACCCTAACAGTGCTGCCGAGGACGATGCCGGCTTGTGTGCCCCAGCGCGCCAGCATAAGCCGATGATGCACGCCTCGTGACGTGTGTGGTTATGTGCACGTCATGCACGTCATCACTGCACGGAGTTCACATCCTCACCCGCACGGTCGCACGCTCTTTCAACGTTTCACCTGGCCAGGCGCTGCTACGTTCACGGGTCGTGTGCGACTTGCGTTCGGTGGGTGAGGTGAACACAAGCCGTTCAACGGCTGCGGCGAGGCTGCCGATGTCTGCGTCACCGAACCGACCATCGGAGCAACGACCACGCGCGGCGCGGTTTCGTCTGGCTCCAGCAGTTGCAACGAAAGTTAAAGGAAGTTAAGCTGGTTAGCAAATCGCCCTCATTGTTGGTTCGTTTGGGGAGTCGGTGACGTGCCTCTCGGGATGCTAAACTCGACTGTATAGCTGGTGGGAGCGGCAGTTTGGCTGCGATCAGGCGGAAAACGGGGTTACTCTCCCTCTCCGAATAATCAACATTCAAATGGTAAAATGTTAGACGCAACAGAGGAAAATGAGTGTATGGATGAAACATGCGACGTGATTCTGATTGCCCCGCTCATGTGACTATGAGACTTCATGCCCATTGTGCAAAGGTCGCTGGTACACTTACGCACGTAACACATGAACAAAATAAAGATCACGTGACACGTTTTCCAAACTGGCGGTGCAGGCTGGAGTCCTGGCTTGTCAGGGCTCGGGCCCGCACGGACAACAGCCCCTACTGGCATGGCTTGGGCAATCGAAAAATTTGGCCCCTCCCCTTTAGCTAACTGTACCGGAGACCACAAACAACAGTCAAGCAAGGCCACTGCATGCACGGCCCGCCGGCGTCAAATGGTTCCCTTGCTATCGAACAAATAAGGCGCCGTTGGGGGTCGGGAGAGGAAAGCCCACTCGACTTCGGCGCCTCGTGCCGCCCGCGCCATACACTCCCCACACACCGAGAGTGGCACTCCGACTTCCACGCCACTCGGCTTGGCTTTATGTGCGGGGACATGCAGCGTCTCAATGTTTGTAGTCGATGCGTCTGCTGTATTGTATGTGGTGGGACTGATGTCAACGTTCCTTGGAAAATCATACTGGCACCCGGAATTCTGAATCCGTCCCCAATGTACCAGTCCTTCACATGAATCCTCAATGCGCTACACTATGGAGACTGCAACAGCGTTACGAGCACGACTGCGTTTGTAAAATTTACGCATTTGAATTTGTCCTCCACCTACCACACAACCGTTCAATTGTGTTAACAAAAATTCCATTATATGCGTAAGTGTTCTAGGTTTCCTTTTAAACTCACACCCCGCCACTTCTCAATACGCAGAGATCACAGGAGCATTACGTGGGAATGAAAAAAAAAACGCCGAAATCCGAAGAATAAATTGTATGGTGTGGAGGTTTACTGCTCGACGGATATACAATATAGGTATATAATACAATGCTGCTTTTATTGACCACCAAGATCTTGGTTACTGCGAGCAAAATATGCGATATTTTACATTATCAGCAACATCTACCACGCGTCGCAATGAGCCAAAGGAGTGCTTAGCCTAGTTCAGCACAGTAGGGTCAATCGAATGATACCATGCCAGTACTGTTCGGTACATTTCATTCATGTGTCAACCTTCGACTTTTCTGACCTTGCGTGACGCTGCGTAGAGCAAAACAGGCTAAACATATTGCAAATTATGTAGACATGTTCAGTACACACGGAGCTATCCTTTGATACCATTATCGGCCGTGATAGTGTAGGAACACCTTTCTTAAATTTGAAGATTGTACATAGCGCATGCTATTGATTTATTGACTAATCTAAAGCCAAAATTAAGCACATTTGTTAGTGAATGTGCCAGAAACTCACACATTGTTTTTACGATGAGGGGGCAAAATTGCTTAATTGCGGACTTCATAAAAGGTCACGGATCCAAACGGTCGGGTATTGACCTTAGAAAGATATCAATGCCTTTCGTAGGCTTCTTAGCTCATTTGAGTTTTGAAGACGTGCTGACCTTATTGGATGTTGTTTTTATTTACAGTTTTTTGATAATCTGCATTCGCTGCCTCTGATACGATTATTCCCTCTGCAGCTTGACCCCGTGGCCCCACTGGGCTAAAACTTTCGATATCAACCCACTCATCTAGAAGATTCCATGTACCAAGTTCCAGGCAATGACGAGACAAGGGATAGGGTGCAACATTTGGGTCCAGCTGCACGATTTGTCCTAGAACACCCAAATCCCTAGAATTTCGACTACATAGACCTGGGACACAGCTCATGAAAGCCTAGTATGCAAACTACAGCTCCCCGGCATGCACCTCATTGACCCGAAGCATGCATTCTCACACCTGGAATGGCTCCCACAGAGGCATGGTATGACACCCATGAAGGCCTTCTTTTCTGCCCGTGACCCTCCTGTGACTGATCGTTGGTAGGTGCGGCCCCTTGGAGTGCAAGCGGCTCCGCGCTCACCCATAACAGGCGCGCCATTTTTGAACCACTCTGCCAGAATGCTGGATGTTGCCAGATTTCCTAACGATGCACCAGCCTGCTGCTACGATCTGACTTCTTACTGTCTGTGGGCACCGATTCGTGTGGAAACCCGATCTGATTTGACCGCAGCGCCTCTGTTCGTCAGACCGTCCTTTCTGCCCCCAGAACTGCACATGACATGACCCCTATCCTCGGTAAGCCCTGGTCTGCTCTCTGCTCCTTGGGGCCGGCGCTGGCTTGATTTCGGCTCAGTAGATCCCTCTGACCCGATCTTTGCTCATCTAATATCATTTGACCTCACCTGACATCACCAACCTGACCCAATACCATTTGACATCACCTGACATCACCAGCCTGACCCCATCCCGTCAGACCCCGCTCTGGCCCGAGCTCTGGTCGTCAGACCCTGCCATGACATGACCTCCGCTCATCAGGTCTCAAATGGCATGAACTTCGCTCAGCAGGTCTCCAATGCCTTAACCTCCGCTGATCAGGTCTTCGATGACTGATCCCCGCGCACGTAGCACCATCTGACCACGCCTTTCCTTGCCACCCCCTGCTCTGACCTGACGTTTCTTCTCGTCTAACCCTGTCAGAGCGAGATGTTTCTCGCCAGACACTGCCCGTCAGAGCCCGTCAAAAGCTGACCTCTCCGCGCCAGACCTTCTCTGACCTGACCCCGGGTCACCCGACACCACCTGACCCAACCTCCATTTGTCAGACCACACCCGACCCGGCAGCCATAGCCGCCGGCAGTCGAGCGGCGCCGGCCGGCCGGCACCTGCGTCCGGCTCGCTGGGGGCCGGCCGCGAGGTGCGCGCATTGATTTCAGCTGGGGCTCAGCATGGTTTACGGCCCTCGCGGGCGTCGCGCCGCCCCAGCGCACGTGACCCCGGCCGCAAGCCGACCGGAGCCGGAGCCGGAGCCGGAGCCGGAGCAGGGACCGCGGCTGTGGCCGGAGCCAGAGCCCATATCGGAAACACGAACAGGCACTGCTGCCAACGCTGAAGTATTACGGCGAGCACGTCTAAAGCATCGGGCGGCGCGGATCCGGAGTGGTTCCAGCCGACGGACACGGCAGCTGAGGTGGGACGCAGGTGCAGGGGCGTTGGCAGCATTTCGCATTGGGAGGCTCAAAGCGACTTTTCATTAAACATTCCGCTACGGGAGAGCCGCAGGCGCGCGGAGTGACTCGCATGGCCGGCAATGATATAACATGCTAAGTATATTTTCTTAAACGTCTACCTGGTTAATTTATTCTGTCAACGTATATTCACACGTGTATGATAGCATGCTAAGAATCATACAAGAAGGAAGGAAACCTCGTGTCCCAGCGGCTGCTCCAATGTTCCCGTGTCAGCAGGTGAATCACTGGGCTGTCGCGTCACTGATAGTTTTTTAGGAATATTACGAACATTGAAAAATAGACCCATTCTGCTTATCAAGCGCTTCATCCGCACACCCTCTTGTCGAACATGTACGAGTGAATGGTGCGGCCCGCGCCATGGCAACACAAACAAGGCAACATCTCTCATATGCCTCAGTCGTTTTCGTTCTTTGAAACATGCGCGCGAATCGCTTCCAGAACATCTGCTGCAAAGCAAGCATCAAGCGATCGTCTTCATATTGGCAACCACCGCTGCTGGACACATCCAGTTAAAACGTTTAGCCGAGTAATGAGCCTCTCCGTATGCAGGCATTGCAGCAGTGATTGTCGTGATTGTGGCCCATGATTAATCGATTCTAAATGCACACCATTACCACAACTAAAGAATAGGTAAGTCCGCACAAATGTATGCAGTGATAACTGAGTAATGCCTCATGTCTGGTGAAAAGACATGAAAAGACATGAAATATCATTTTGGTTAGGTGACCCAAACATTAAGATAGTCGAAAATCTGAGAGATGAAGACGCAGGGACGGAAAAGGAAATAGGGCACAGCCTCAAAAACTGCGGCAAAGGCCGCAGTTCTTCCCACTAACGCTGAATACAAGGGTAACATCAGAGTTATGGCACTGCATTATACAAAAGGCATTTGCAGGATGTTCAGTCCTTTATACTTGGGAATCTTCGCGCCCTTCTTAAGAAGAGAGGAGGTGGTCATTAAAAGACTGGACTCACTAAAAGCATTCCCAATGATATCTTTCCTGGAACGAGCTGAACACTCAACTATCTACGTTTTCATCCAACAAGTATTGCACATAAGTTGTATTTCCATCTTACTTGTCTCCTTTAGACGTGGAATTCCGGACAAAATGCTGCCATAATAAAGCGCCATCATGTGATGCTTCATGAACTAGTCATTAGGTTAAAACTTTACGCATCGTCATGGCACAGACGGGAAAATTTGGCAAGAGGAAGATATCAGCTTTCTAGCGTTAGATAGCCTTGGTACCAGCTGAGTAAGGATAATTTATCGCTAATCTATATTTCTTAATCCATAGGCCATTTATTGGTATGGTTTGTGCGGCCACACAATTTCCACTCACCTTCGTGTCATGTCACAATCATTCTCTGAACACGTTTTCTGGTGTTAATGGAGGCTTCGGTAATTTATCACCCAGTCATCTTGTTAGTTTCAGAGTGAAATGGTGTGTGAAATGGCTGAGAAGAAGCAGAGGCATTCAAGGAAAATAACAGTCGGCGCATCTTGGCAAAACGAAATGTTGAAACCGCCGGAGAAAACAATGCAACGGCCTTCCGTTTGGTCAAAATCTCCCAAATACGCTCTTCCGGTATTGGCTTAACGAATTGCGTCGGATGTGTGATGTGGTCTGGCCACAGCACGAGGACCAGGCCAGTCCCTGGCCGCTGGTGTGCGGCGCTGGGCCGGAGACCGGGACGGTGCTGCCGCCGCGCCCGGTCGGTGAGCCCACCTGAAGGCGCCCGGGTCGATCCAGGTGATGCGGTTGCTCATGAGACGGAGCGTCTGGACGCGGGTGCCGCGCAGTCCGCGCTCGTCCAGCCGCTGCAGGCCCGAGTTCAGCAGCTCCACGAAGGCTAGCGGGCCCGGCGGCAGGTCTGCAACACGTCAGCCGGGGAGCGGGCGGTGAGCAGTCAGCCGCCGACCGCCGCTGCCGCCCACAAACGGCCACACCACCTCGAGCGAGCGCTGGCGGGGCCGCTCCACACAAACGTCGGCCGGTTGGCACACCGCGCCGCACCCCAACAGGCCACCTCACACCGGATACGGTCGGGCGGCATACACACCGCGCCCAAATATGCCGCCTCATACCGGAGACGGCCGGGCGGTATACAGCATTGCGCCCTAATAGGCCACATCATACCGGAGACGGCCGGGCGGCATACACACCGCGCCCCAAATATGCCATCTCATACCGGAGACGGCCGGGCGGCATACAGCACCGCATGCCGACCAGACCGCGCCACAGATGCTGGCGCTCTCCCGCGCCGCCCACTCAACTATCACACCCGGACATCGCCAGGGCAGGTTCAGCAGGTACTACCACTAGATCAGCTTCCGCGGACAGGTGGGCGGCATCAACTGACAGCAGCTGGACAGCTACAACACACACAAGCAGACCAACTGAACGGAGTGAAATGAGCCTCCTCAACAGGTTTAAGCATAGCAATTAGCCATAGGCAAGCAAAGCTGCTGAATCGGGTAAACAGAGCACGTGCCCAGGGTGCGGACGAGGAATTGTTGCACCTGGATCGTGCGCGCCCAGGGACCGAGCCAGCAAAAGCCAACCGAAGAAATCACGAAAGACAGGTCAGTCAACTTACAACATTACCAAACAAAAATGAGAAAAATGGCCAGTCAGATGAAAGCTGACAATCGACAGTATCTGAGGAAAAGCACAGGCACAGGCGTACAGTGCGACCGGCGGGCCATATGTAAGTGTCAGCCCCCCCCCCCCCCCCCCTCCTCCTTTCCACGACGTGGCGTCTTCCCGCTGAAAACTGGCGAGACTGAAACAGGGGAGCTTCAGGGAAGTGCCATTGGTTGTTGTCTGTAAACAGAATATGAAAAGTTATTGGACCGCCGAAAATAGAGAAGTTGGCTTCCATTCTATGTCAAGCTTTTACATATGTTCTATAGTTTGTGGCACATTCCGCTCTGCAAATCTGTTCTCCGCAGCTTTTCCTCTCTCTCTCTCTCTCTCTCTCCTCTCTCTCTCTCTCTATCTCTCTCTCTCTGCTCTCTCTCTCTATCTCTCTCTCTCTCTCTCTATCTCTCTCTCTCTCTATCGCAGATCTCTCTCTATCTCTCTCTCCTCTCTCTTCTCTGCTCTCTATCTCTCTCTCTCTCTCTCTCTCTCGCTCCCTCCT